ATGATTGGACCGCGGTCGTCCCCGTGTCACTTCTCCTATCCCGCTGTCACCAGCTGCTGGAGGGGTGTTTGTGTGTGTGTGTGTCTGTGTGTGTGTGTGTCTGTGTGTGTGGCTGAGGGGTGCGGGGTGTTTCGAGCAGTGTGATTGACAGAACATGAGATGCCACACACACATTCAGGATGTGTCTCTGTCCGCTTTTGTCCAATTATAGACAGCGAAAGATCAACTTCAGCTGCAAAGCAAAGCTCCACTGACACAAATACATGGCTACACACACACACACACACACACACACACACACACACACACACACACACACACACACACACACACACTTCCTTCATTCCCTCAGCCTGACTTCTCCACCCACATCCTCATCTGCATAACCCAACCACCCACTGTTTCCTATTCCCTATGCATTCTTTGGACTCTGCCAACATTTCTCCCTCTTTTACAGTATGTATTTGAGTGCTATCCCCGTTTCAGTAATCACTGCACCATGACATATATTTATATTTTTCTCAAATAGTGTAGGTGGTATAAAATCTTCTCCTCTAACTTTGGACATGAAAGAAATTCAGTGTACTTCCCCAAATGCCAACCCAGTAATTTAATTGTTTTTTTTTCTGCCCATTGCTCTTGAAAAAAGTATTCTTGGATGAAATCTGATATGACCATCATTCAGCTTTACCTTGTGTATCCCTCTCTCCTGCCATGCTGTTTGATGGTTTATCCCTCATTGCATTGTGGACTATAAGCTCCTTAAGAAGATTCCGTTTTTTATGATCCATATTGTCAAAGACATTCTGAAAGACAAAATGTAAAACAAAATCTGAAACCTGAGAAAACCAAAAGTCCTAAATATAACATATCTAACGGACAAGTGTTGAATTTAGTAAGTTATGCCTTTGCTATAAAAGACTCACCTTGAGTGTTTCAGTCTGTTGACAAATGTTTCTATAAAACTCCTGCGTGTCTTTGCGGTGCCGGGCCAGCTGTGAGGCTATGTGCAGGTTCTGATCCTCTAGTTTGTCGTACAGAGTCTTCACATTTAACTCTTCCAAATCGAAGAACCCTGACACACTTCCTAAATTGGAAGAGTAGATGTCAATAATATGCAAGTTAGAAATGGGCTCAAATATGGCGGAAAGTCTGATCAGCCCATCCCAAAGATCTAATGAGATACTTATTCTGATTCTGATTATTTTGTAAATTGTGTAACTTGCTGCTGATAATTACCATCAAACTATTTGCTATATGTGCTATATGTGCTATATGTGCAATATATACATATGCCATGAATACATGTGTAATATGTACCTGGCTGCTAAATCCTAAGAACTGTTACAGGATTTGTAAAAGATTAGCAAATTTCCCCTCTGTGGGACTAATAAAGGTTTTCTGATTCTGATTCTGATTAATTGCTGCACCATGAAATCAAAAGCTTGTTTGACTGAGCTCAATAACAATTCAGAAGCGTCTGTAGCTTTACAGACCGTCCGGATGCAGCATGCTTCCATGTGATGGTTGATAAGTACTTCAGAGCCAGAGATAACAGCACAAGCAATTAGAGAATGATAATGGCCATTATTTTTTTTATCATCAATCAAATGGTGGAATAGGCTGTTAACTGCTACCTAGTCATGCGTGATGGTTTCATAATGACTCGGGCCAATAGATGTTTAAACGCCCTATCAAGCTGCATGAATAATGCAATAAGTGAGAAACATTAAAGCCAACTCTACTTATAGATTTCTAGACCTTTCTGCAAATATTTTCCACAATCTGCACCTGAGCAAAAAAACTGATCACTAGAATTTGTATCACCATTTACTATTACTAATATCTAAACTTACCAATTACTTAATATATATTTGATTTGAAATCTGTACTGCAGTATAACAAGCTCACCTCCTTTTGAAACAGCCAGCTCCTCAGCCTCTGCTCCCACTCCTATACCCCTACTACCTAAGTAACCACCTTGGCTTGGGACTGCTATGCTGAAACACAAATAAAAAAGCCACATATTTATATTTGACTGCATTTTACATAATTGACATAACTACCGGTACATGTAAGTTGACGTGAAAAAAGAGAGAGTACATGGATAGTTATATACCCAGCACCGGTCTCCTGACACAAACCATCAGTATTGATTTAAAGCCAACCAACCTGTCTCCACTGCAAACACAATCCACCGGACAGAAGGGCTCCCCAAGGCTGCGCCACTTCGGCTTAGCCCTCCACTGGGAGACAAGTTTTGCTTTTCCAGGTCGCAGAACTAAAACTGTGGTGGTCAAAACCACAACTACAACCAGCAGCAGACTCAGGATCCCTACACACAGGTATTAGCATTGTGGCAGAATAAAATAGCTTGTTACAACCATGCACATGTATAAATAGACATTATAAGGGAACAGTATGATACACACCTGTTATCACTCCCCAGTCAGGTAGAAGGTTCAGTCTGTGTTGTTTTACAATCCCGTGCTTGACCAGCTGTGCCGGGGTCATGGGCTGGAAGACGGAGGCCCGGGGGTCACACTCTGTCCCCTCCTCACTGACCACCACCACCAAACTCCACTCTGGCACAGCGCTGTCAACAAACACATACTTCCCTGTTTCCAAAAACACATGGGCAAACCTGACAAGAAGAGGGGAAAAGGAGAAGTTTTAGATAAAGGGGGGAGATGTCACAAAATGGGAACTCAAATAATCTATACTTCACGCTTCACACTACCTTGTAGAGTTGAAGTTTGTCTGCTTCATGAGAATCTGTAGATGCCTGAAAGCACCAAAGTCCCAGCTGGGGTTACTGTTAAATAAGTGGTCTTTCGGATATACTGGGAAGTGGCTGTGACGGCGGTCTTGGGGTAATAAAGACAGTGAGAGCAAGATTACTATGTTTAGAACTATAATAAATCAAACTGTCATAATAAAAAGAAAATGAAGGAAAAGAAAATATGCAGTACCAGTGTGGTTGATGGTGAGGTGGAATATGAGCATGTCACCAGAGGACAGACAGGCGATGGGGTTGGGGATACGAGGAAAGACGACAGCATCATAATCATCTTTTGTCTCCCTCCTTTGTCTGGGTCTTGTACTTAGGACTTCTATTGGTTCTGAGTAAAGGTACATGCTCAGGGTTTAGACACTAAAGTTGCGTATTCAACTTTTTTCCTTTAAATATACATCAGAACAATAACATTAAATCATCATGACAAGTTAAGAGCAGTCACCCGACAGGAACTGATTGATGAGCTCTCTTTGTGTAGGAATCCAACCAAACACGCCTTCAGGGTCGAACTGGACCAAATGGATTTTACCAATATTGTTTGCGTGGAAATCTGGTCCTAAAACATTCATTACAGTCTGGAAGTAAACAAAAACAAGCTTAATCTTTAAGCTTATGTGACATACAGTGCAACAGGAAATAAACTGGGTCCCATAAACATTACAACTGTGACACTTTCTTCATATTTCTGATTATTAAATCTACTCTAGAAAGTGGAGTAAGTGGCTCTTTTATGCTTTGATATCTGTTTTAAATAATTGGGAATATTCATATTTAAAAGGCTTTTTTCCATTGTTAAACATGTAAATGATGGTAACATGGTTGTTACATCTAAAACAAAATGTTGTGGTGTTTATACAAGTGTAGTCAAATGTCCTGTACTAGAGAGAAATACTTTTGTTATGATATTGCACAGATAACGAGTTTGGGGGGCTAAATATCTCCAAACAGCCACTAAAGCCTGTGCACAAAAAATATGCAGATTCATGGAGGATGAAACTAGCTTCAATTTATGACCCCAAGTAGCAATTTTGTTGAACTGCTAAAAGCATTTTTCTGGATGGAGGAACACTTTCATTATTTATCACTTTTCCTTTGCCATTATGCAATGTTATAGCCAAATGTGCAGCTGCAACACATTTTCCAGGTCTCCTGCTGAGACCCTGATAAAAGCTTTGCCAAGCTTTCTGCCAGTTTACCGTCCAACCCAGCCCCTACAGACTGAAAGGTTTTTTTGGATGCATCACGGCAATACTAATACTAGTTTTGTGCTCATTTTTACCTGGTGGTAGCAGATTCCGAAAATCCTCCCTATCCTTTCAACAATCCTTTCAAGTATTACTTAAAAGGTAAATAGGAAATCAATCATCTTGAATTTGGGCCAATCAGTCTGTCAATGGCCCTGTCACACTTCCTTACCCTGGCCCAGACCATTTTGTCTCTTTCTTTGAGGCTGAGCAGCAGGTGTCCATCTGGAGAGAATTGGGCAGAGAGCTGAGGTAGTCTGGAAAGGCAGGAAGTGTTGCAAAGCTCTTCAGCAGACACATATCGCTCACACTGGCAGCTGGGGCATCAGGATCAGGCAGACAAGACAAGAAACAGAGAAACAGACAGCATAAGAGGCTGTTTACTTAGAGATACAAATCTAATCACAAATCAATTTTCCTTATATCTATCCTTTTTTACATTGTATTTGACTTTGCGCTGTACTTTTATAAGACACATTTGAATTGAAAAGTGTAAGTGATATTCACATTCCCATCTCCACATCCAGATTTCCTCCATGTTGTCCACAGGTGATATTACACGAGTGGAGGGAAGGTGACACACACTCTCTGGAGTCTGCCAGACGTACCTCACCTGTGGCACAACGCTTGTTTGCCTGAAACACACACAAACACACAAAAACACACACACACACAGAAATAAGACATGAAAAACGACTTAAAACATACAGACCTTGGAGTATTTCCCTATTTCGTCTTTTACTGATTTCACAATGTACAGAAAAAATCGAATTAAAAAGTAAAATCATCAAGCCAGTTAGGGGTTGCTCAAATGCTTCTTGTAAATCTCCATATTTATACTTCTCCATTCACAATTTATTGAATTTGCCCAAAGATGAACCACTGTGTACATTTGATACACTAATTAAGAGTAACTAAGGCTACTGACCTCAGGCTGGCAGTCCAACTCACTGTCAGACGTAGAGCTTTTGAAATCCAGTTCATTGTAGAAGATAAAACCAGTTCTGCACAAACATGAACCATCAGAGTGCTGGAAGGCTCGATTCTTAGCAATACAGGTACAAGAAGAAGAACCTGAGGAAACAAGTGTGACACAGCACTGCTATATTATCAAAAATAGATATGTTTAAGTAGAACACTTTTGAAACTGTAACTTACATTTAAAACATAAAATAAAACATAAAAATAAATAAATAAATAAACATAATATTTGTTCAGATACAAGCTTTTAATGTGTTTTGAGATATCTGGAAACATCTGATAGTATCCAACCTGCTGGTGAGGTGGAGGAGCTGCCACAGGGAAAGCAGGCCTTCTGAGCAGGCAGGTGGTTGAAGGTGCCAGCAGGACATGGCTGACAGTTACCCATTGTTTTAGCAAGAGGGAGGTTGCCAAAGGAGCCAGCAGGGCAGGGTATTGGTTGTGTGGATCCGGTGGGACAGACATACCCAAAAGGGCAAGGGTTACTCTTGTAGTTGTCTGTACCTGTTGGATTTAGCCACACATTTATAAAAACAAAATCACAGTTTATTTGAAGTTAGGCATGAAATATTAAATGCTGTACATATAAATTGAGTTCTAGAGGATTTGTGGTGTTGAGTAAAGTACCAGAGGGACAAAAGTATCCTGCAGGACATGGAAGGCATTTTTGGATGGGGGAGAGGTACTGACGATAGGTGCCCTCGTCACACACAGTGCAGCAGCTGTTTTTGGATCCTCTGAGGCCGCTGGTGTTGACAGGCATGAAACCGCCATCGCAGGATTTCATGGAAGAGCTGTTGGCTGGGCAGTGGTAGGGAAATGGACAGCTGTGGGACATGGTAACAGGGTTATTTATAAAGCTTTAACTCACACCGTGTAAAATCAGTCAAATCCATTAAGCTTACACTGTTTTAAACGTTCAAGGACTAGTGTGTAAAACTTATTGGCATACATCATATATTATTTTATATATATATATATATATAT